AATAAATTTGAAATTGTTTTTGTTTGAGTATTGGTCTAAATCAAATGAAGTCATAATACAAAAAATCAAGTAATTAACTTATTAATTATTTTCATGTAAATTATTTTTAGTGATTATCTTAATTCATATTTTAATTATATATTTTTTAGGTATGTTAACATGTTATCAAGAGCCTATTAAGCCCTTATGTTTCTCTGTTTGATCATTAATAGAGCTCTCAAAATAAATTTTAACCCATTCATTTCATGATCAAATTTTATGATTGATATCATTATGTTTTTCTTATTAGATGATTGAAAATTATTTTAATATAAATAATATAAAATAAAAAATAGTTAATCAACAATAATATTTCAAAAACAACTATTTTATTTCAACTTATTTTTATTTGTATATTTTTTAGTCGATATTTTGGATTGAATTTTTAAATGTTAATTTTTTGCGTGATAATTTACATTAGAAAATAATTGGATTTTAAAATAAATTTAATAAAATTTAAGCTCGTCATAATTATAGTAAATATTTTTCATTTTTTTCATCATTATTATAATATTTAAATAATAATAAATAATGTTAACATTTATTATATCATTTTTATTTCACTCCAATTAATTTTTGAATGAATTTTTAAATGCTATTTTTAATGAATGTTCAACTCGATTATCTATATTAACCGGTTCTTTTTTGGTCGAACCGGGTTCCCAATAAACCGGAGGGAATGGATTCTCACAGAACGTTTGATTGAAACGGTCTTTGGCTAAAGGCCTATTACCGAGCAATGGTGGATTTAAATGATTTTTGTTCATTTATACGCACTTATATATTTAATATTTAATAATTATTATTTATACACAAAATATTATAAAATTTAAAGAATATTATTCGATCTCTTCGTTATAATTCTATCACTAATTAATGGAGAGGAGGGGTGGTCGACAGAGAAATTGATGACAACAATGAAGTTTTCGTAAGGAATGGAGTAGCATCGTGTAATAATCCAAACTCTTAACTATCGAGATATTATAATTTTTGATCCAATAACTTCAACGAAAATACTTAACTTGGAAGTTTCTAATGAAATTTCAACAATTACATCAAAATGCATCTCGATATTTTTAAAAGTTTGACTTTATTTTCTTAAGAGTTTTCACATATTGAAAGTTACATATGAGAAGAAGAAGACAAGGTGCACAATATATCCTATCACCTTCCCTGATGAGATCCCATCTCGAATTTTTAGTTTTATTTTTTGTTAGTGGAAGCTTCTTCTCGATAGAGACAACTTTCAAAGCCCATTTTTAGGCGAGATTATATTGTGCGGTGTCCAAAAGTGTCTAGAAGCCAATCTAGACGCGCCACATAACTCAATGCACAGTACCCAATGCACTGTGCATTGTATGACTGACGCGTTCGGATTGGCCTCCGAATGTGTTCGGACACCTCACGTAATATTTTTTTCCATTTTTAGATACATCTCATTGTGAGTTTTGCGTGTCAGAAGATATCTGTGAGAACTTTGAAAACTGACAAAGAACGACGAATGAGCAGAGAGAAGGAATGCAAAGAAGAAGATAAAGTATAAAACATATATGCTATCGTTAATTCAAGAAGTGGTGTACAATTGGTATATATAGACATAGAAAATAATTAAACGAATCCTAAGGTTACATATGTAAGGCTAAAGAAGAGACTAACATCAAGACAACTTTTCTTTGTATTATATTTTCCCGAAATATTAGGATGTCATGGAATATATATTAACATGCCCTCTCAAACTGGTGCAGCTGAAGATGTAACCAGTTTGGTTGCAAGTTGTTGAAACCGAGAAATGGAGAGAGGCTTGGTGAAAATATTGGTAACTTGATCTTTAGTGGAGATATGATGAACTTTGATTGCTTTAGCCTTAATGCATTCCCTGATAAAAGTGACAGTCGACTTCAATGTGCTTTGTTCTAGCATGAAAAATCGGATTATTTGTTAAAGAAATAGCTGACATATTGTCACAAAATAGTGGAGTGGATGTTGTGGGAGAGCAGTTGAAATCTTGAAGTAATCGGAGAATCCAGATGACTTCAACAGCAGCAACAACAAGAGCTCAATACTATCCTCCGTGGAAGATCTAGCAACGACATTTTGTTTCGTGACACTCAACGAGAATAAGGATGACCTGATGTAGTTGCAATATTCTGAGATGGACTTGTGATCGGTAGAGTCACTGGCCCAATCAGAATCTGCATAGGATCAAAGAAGATCGGATAAGAAGAGAATCACAAAAAAGTGGTAGACCTGTATGAAGCGTACCTTGAATATAGCGAAGAAGATATTTGAGTGCTTCAAAGTGAGTGTTTAGAGGTTTCTACACGAGCAGACTTTAATAACGACGAAAGAGATGTCTGGTCTAATAAGAGTAAGATATTGAAGCGAGCTAGCTAATTTGACGAAAGAATGTAGGATTAGTGAAAGCAGGAGGAGTGGTAGAGGCATGAGATGATTTGATTTGGGACGGATTAGATACGAGTTTGCAATTTATCATGCCTGTTTTGGAAAGAATGGACTTCACAAATCTAGTTTGATTAAGGTGTAAGTCGTAGGAAGTTTGGACCGTTTGGATGCCAAGAAATTGAGAGATAGATCTGAGATCTAGCATTTTAAATTTTGTATTGAGATTATGCAGGAGATGATTGATTGCAGATTTGGAGTTATCGGTGATAAGAATGTCTTATACATAAACAAGGAAATATATAGAAACGTCCGACTTATTATATATGAGCAGGGATGGATCAGAGGAACTGAACTTAAACCCAAGTGACTATAGATGACCGAAAAGCACTACAAACCACTGACGAGGTGATTGTTTCAGAACACATAAGGCCTTTTTAATCTACATATGTAATTTGGATGAATAACATCGAGGAAGCCAAGGGGTTGCTTCATGTAAACGGTATGAGAGAGATAACAGTGGAGAAAGGCGTTGGAGACATCCAACTAATGAATAAGCCAATTATGATGAAGATAGACAACAAGAAGCACCCGAGCAGTAGGCAATGACGGTTGATCATTTTATTAAACTCGATAAATTTAGAGGTGACCTCAGAATTCATAAGTAGTGGATAAACCCAACAAAATTTATAATAGTCATCAACAAATGATACATAATAATGATAACCTTGCATTTGATGTGGTGGGAGAGGGTCCTCAAACATCTAAATGAACTAATTCAAAAAAAGTAGAAGCAGAGTTTTGAGATTTAAGAAAGGGTAAACGATGGCTTTTAACAATTTTACACGAATTACAATGATAATATGGTGAGCTAAAACAAATAGTAGAGATGCTTTTGGCTAAATTTTGTTGAGTAATAGAAGCAGGATGTTCGAGCCATCAGTGCCAGAGATTTGGAATAGCTTGAGTGGAGATCATTGCGAGAGATTGTTTAGGGGTTGATGATTGAAGCGGATAGAGACCTTTAAGACACGAAACCTGAAGAAGAAGGCGAGGGGTCTTCAAATCCTGAATTTGAAATCCATTAGAAGAGAAGGATGATGTATATATATCAAATTATATGACATATTTGGAAAGTGATAAAGATGACAGAGCCTTAGGTTACTAGTGGGAGTAGGAAGGACACCCTTTCCAGAATGTTGGATTGGAGATGTTGTCCGTTGCCGAGGGTGATTTGGTTGGAGCTAGTATGAGGTGTGGGTGAGCTAAGATTAAAAAAAAAACTGAAGTTAGATGACTGGTTGCTCCACTGTCAAGAAACCAGTCAGAATCGATGGAGGATTCCACGTGAGAGAATAACGCTGATATCTGAGAATCTTCATTGTAGGAGGAATCATGATGATGCTAGCAACGGAGAGCAGAATGGCCTTTCTTGAAGCAAATCTAACATGTAATAGAACTTGTCAAATTGTTTTCATGGTGAATGGGGTAGTTGCGAGTGGATCAATTCATGGAGAAGGAACAACAATGATTTGTAGAGTTAACCTCTTATATGGCCACAAGAGGTAGTAAGTGCCATGGAGGGTTTGGAGAGCTGTATGTTATGTAATTCATGGGTTGCTTCTTGGGCAATGTTCTTCTCTTCACTTCAAAGTAGTGTATATAGATCATACAACGTTATTGGGTGGATATTAGTGCATATAGCAGTTTTGAAGGATTGATATTGGGAAGGGAGACCTTTTAATGTGCAGAGGATGATATCCTCTAGATCAAGAGAGGTTCTGGTGGCAACAACAACATCGATTTTAGACTTAATATTGAGAAGATAATGGGTAATTGTTTGATCTTTCAGGGATATATGGTGGAGCTCATTCTTGAGTTGTATGATACGAGATCTAGTGGTAGACTGAATACGCCAAGAGATGGTTTCTCAGATCTCGACACAATGTTCTAAGGAAAGAACGAAGGGTAAAAGATTAGGAGAGATGACAGAGTAAAGTGAGGCAACTAGGTTTTGATCAACTAGAAGCCATGTTTAATAGAAATATGTATTAGGAGCAATCAGAGACGTTAGGGAAGGGCAAGAACAAGAACCATCAAGAAAATCGTCAAAGCCATTAGCTCAGTAGAGCTTGAAGACTTGCGACCGCCATACGAGATAATTATCAGAGTTAAGAGGGATGGAAATGATACTTTTGATATTGCTAACCAAGAACTTTAATTTGCACGGGGATTTTTGTACTACTTTTTCTTGAAATATCAGGATGACATAGAATATATATTAACAAACTTTTCTTCATTGTCAAAAATTTGATTAACTCAATTAATGAAGTAGTATATTATATAAATAAGATTTCCTTTAAAAAAATTATGTAAAGCGTAAAATTCAGATTTAATATATATAAATATATTTGAATATTAAAAAAATTAAAAAGTCAAAAAAAAAAAAAACGAAAATAACTTTTAACGAGTTCTCCTCTCCCCGCCTTCATCTCCAAACTACTTTCCTGAGAACTGGAATGTCTCTTTGCGCCTATAAATAACTCGTCGGCCTCGTCGACGTCGTCAGCCTCGCGTTCTTTCCAGCGGATCAAACGCGGGGATTGAAGGAGGAGTCAGCTTCAAGACTCTTTCGACAAGAAAGGAATGCTTGGATATAGGTCTACACAAGAAGGGTTGAGGGAGAAGGAAGACTTGTTAGGGTTTTTCCAGATCTCTCTTCGCTTTCTTCGGTGTTTTTTTGATCCGCAACTCTTTGTTACAGATTGCGGTTTCTAAGGTATGGCTTTTTTCCTTTGGTGCTTGAACTAGATCTTGTTTTCGTCTCAAGCGATTTCGTTTTGTCTACCACTCTGGGTTCTAGTTCTTGGTTTGTACGATTTATTTTGTGTAGGAGTTTTAATTACGCTTGGTTGTGAGTTCTTATGCAACGTTTATTTTGTCATTTTGCGGGTTTGGAATCGGTTTCCTCTTAGATGGAGGGAGGTAGTTTGGCATATTTTGATTGATTTTTCTTTTCTTTTTGGAAAATTTCGCAGATGAATTATATTCTCTGCTATTGTCAGATTCCTCTATCCCTAGTCCCTAACTGTTGGTGCTGCAATGTACAAGTTCTTCTTAGACTTCTTCCTAAATAGTATGTTGCTATTACGGATGAGCTCTTCATTCCAATTAAGTTTGCTTTCTGCTTGTAGATGGTGTTTTTTTTTTTTTTTTTTAATCAGGTTTGTGTAGTTTCACTTTTTGCAAAATGTAATTGATTTAAGATTGCCATTCGAATGATGCTTATGTCATCTTTGTATTTGTTTTCATGTTGGAGACAGATTTGCACCAGAGGGATTTGATCATTAACATTAAATAAAGGACGAATACTGGTTAATCGTGATGGATTTGGGTTCTGTGTTCTTTAAATTAGCTGATAAATTTGATCCTTCTTTACCGATGGTTTGTGGCTGGCTTGTCACTGGATCCTTTGGGCTGCTAGCACTGATATATGCCTTTCTCAGGCTGCAGAAAGAGGCATCACTGAACTGGATAAAAGCAGCTGCTCAGGAGAAGAAAAAAGTTTGGAATAAGTTGAAATGTCCTAATTCTTATCACACATGGACTGAAGATGATTGCGGTATAGGGAAACCTTCAGCATGCTGTGTTTGTTTGTCATCTTTGGTGTCACCTCAAGGTGGTGGACTGAAGACCTCAGGCAACGCTGAAGTCCAACGTTGCTCCATATGCGGTGTTGCAGCTCATTTCCACTGTTCTCGGTTTGCGGTGGAGGATTGCAAGTGTATAGCACAAGCTGGCTCATCCCATTTGATGCACCACTGGTCTGAAAGATGGGTAGATTTGGATGAGAACTCTGAGACGTCTTCCTTTTGTTATTATTGTGATGAAACATGTGGTATACCATTTTTTGGTGCTTCTCCTACCCCTGTATGGGGTTGCCTTTGGTGTCAAATCCTCATACATGTTGATTGCCATGCTAAATTTGTAAAAGAGACTGGTAATATTTGTGATTTGGGTCCACTTAGACGGCTTGTGCTGTCTCCACTCTCAGTGAAAGAGGTGGATGATGGACGAACAAGCGGGGGAATGCTAAAAGCTTTGAAGGAAGGGATTATTACAACATCAGTTAGAGGTCCAATAAGAAAGCAGCGTAATCGTATTAAGAATGGGAACAACTACTCTTCTCTTTATAATGTTCCTTTTGGTAAGCTAAAGCATTGTTCAAACAATGGTAAAGCTAATGAATCTTTCCTTAGTTGGCTTTTTGGTGGGGTGTACTTTCAGGAAAAGAACAATGATTCTGCAAGTTTAAGATACAGTTATAATAAATCCAACCAAAAAACTGAAAGAAGAAATTATGAAGTGATCAATTTGCCACAGGATTCAAGGCCACTTCTGGTATTCATTAATGCGAGGAGTGGAGCTCAATATGGACATTCTCTTCGAAGGAGACTGAACATGCTGTTAAATCCTGCTCAGGTTAGCGTTTAAGTCCCCTTATGAACAATCATTCCACTCTGCTAACTTCTTAGGTATCGGAAAACAGGATTTTTTTGCCCTATGATTTTAGATTTTACGATCAATTGTTTAAAGTGCTTCTTTTGCTAAAATTTGGCAATTATGTATCTTAAATCTTGTGTGTTAACCAAAATTCAGATTTTTGAACTAAGTTCCTCCCAAGGGCCTGAGGTTGGGCTGCAAATGTTCCGTAATGTGCAATACTTCAAAATTCTTGTTTGTGGAGGTGATGGTACTGTTGCATGGGTTCTTGATTCCATCCAAAAGGAGAATTTTGTATCTCCCCCACCAGTTGCCATTCTTCCTCTTGGCACTGGAAATGACTTGTCACGCGTTCTGCGATGGGGAGGGGGTTTGTCATCTGTTGAAGGGCAAGGTGGCCTCCGTCCTCATCTGAATGACATTGACCACGCAGCAGTCACGATGCTTGATCGCTGGAGTGTTTCCATCCAGGAGAAAAATGCAGATCCAGGTGAAAGCAAAAGACATGTGAAGCAAATGACAAACTATTTAGGTATGTTGGCTAAGACCATCTCCAACCGAGAATCTCATATTTCACTCCAAAATACCGTGAAACTAAAAAATACCGTGATTCATCTCCAATCAAACTCCATTTTGCCCCCTTTTGCGAAGGTAACGGTCTTTCTTTCTTTTGCGCATTTCTTCGGCAAGTTGGGTAGAGACAGAAAAATAGCGAAGATGAACAGTGCAACGCCAATATTGACGTCCCACTGTTCACCTGCAACCAAATAGCATAATTTTACCATTTGGCTGGAGCTCGCCAGTGACGCCATTCAAGCGGTTGGAGTTCGGTTGGAGATGCCCTAATATTCACCAAAATTTTATAGCTGAAAGCAGGGCCAATTTTTTTATTCATGTATGTCCTTTCTTTTTTTTTGTTTTGTTTTTGCCTTGTAGGTATTGGATGCGATGCAAAGGTTGCATACAACTTTCATACAACCCGGGAAGAAAGACCTGATATGTTCCATAGCCAGGTAACTGATATATTTCTCTCGCTCATACACAAAGCCAACATGCTCATGTACATCCACACTAATCCTCTTGTTCAAACTCATTTATTAATTTCATATGATGGCATGATGCCAAGGTGCTAAATATCATAATATTTGCATTCATGTTTGAAACCCCGGTAATGGATATCTTGAAAATCAATTATGATATATATGATGAGGGGAGCGTAAGTTTACTCAAATGTAATTTTTTGAGCAAGAGGCTGCACGTAAAGTAACTTTTTTTACTTAGACCAGGCAAGTATCGCAAACTTGTATGATTTCTGAGAAATCCAAGCTATTTGATTATGTTATGTACACCAAGTTGTAACATCTAGAAGAGTAACAAGTTCGAGTCTTCCAAACCTCTTCTTTTGGAGAAATTATTCTATGCGGAGAACGGACGCAGAACACCGCCCAGAGACCAGCCAGAATGCCCCACATCAGCGGTACCGAGCAGTACCATGCTACGGTACCGAGCACAGGAGTAACGTGGCGCATTCTGGTTGGTTTCCGGACGGCGTTTAGCATATGCATAGGATAATTAATCCTCCTTTTGATTATATTTTCATCGATTGCTTTTTTTTTTCCTCTTCTTTTTTCTTTCAAATATATAGCTAAAGTTTAAAGATCATGAAACATTAAAATTATATTGAGTTAACCAAAATTAGTTATGAAAATTAGCCATATAAACCTTAAACATTAAAGTTTATATGGATGAACCTTAAACATTTTGTTATTGAAATGTATGAACCAAATTAGTTTTGAATCGTTTATGAAAATTAGCCATATAAATTTTGAGAATCTGGTTAGCGAAAGTCATTTCTGTTTTAAATGTGTGTTTGTGCACCAGCCTTATGTTGCCTCATAAAACAGAATTTTCAATGGCTTATGTTGAATATCGTTTTAAATCACATTTGTGTTTGTGCAGGTATATGATATTAAACATTGTTAAAAAGCAGCAAAAATGTTGACTTTCAGATACTAAAAAATGTTCACCATAGTTAATCATTCCTACTATATCCCAAATAGCGGAGGATTTTTGTATGGTTGCTAGCAATCTTAGTACTTGTTCCGTGCATCATAGTTCTTCCAGGTTAATATTAGGAAGCTATTCAGGTTTTAGTTCATATCCTTGAGGCATGTTTTCTCGTTAGAACTATTTATTATTATTTTGTCACCACATGTTTCACCTTCTTTTAAGCAGTTTTTTTTTTTTGTAAATGTAAAATGCCAGATAATAGTTATCACTTATATGTGCTAAAACACGTTCATTTACATTTATTTATTTATTTTTAATTTGTAGTTTGTCAATAAATTGTGGTATGCCAAAGAAGGAGCTAAGGATATTGTGGATAGAACTTGCGCTGATTTACCGTGGCAAGTGAGTTTAGAAGTTGATGGAAACATGGTTGAAATTCCAGAGGTAAAAAAGTGTATTTTTACCAAACAATTTTACTTCAATCCATCCCTTCTCCCTTCCTCAGGAGAAATTATTACGTGTGGAGTCCGGATACGTCCAGACTCCAATAAAAATATGACACGTGTTCTTGTACACAGTGTGCAACTATACACACTATGCATAAATTATACACACTGTGTACAAAAACACGTGTCACATTATTATTGGAGTCTAACTTCGCACGTAATAATTTCTCCTTCTTCTGATACTTCCTACCCGCATATTCTCTCTTTCCTCTCCCGCCTTCTTTTTGATACTTTCCAGTCACTTATGCCCTGATGATTTTCTCAGGATGCTGAAGGTGTAATCGTGCTCAACATTGGCAGTTACATGGGAGGCGTAGATCTATGGCAAAATGACTATGATCATGATGACAACTTCAGTCCTCAATCAATGCATGATAAAATGCTGGAAGTCGTTTGCATATCTGGAACGTGGCATCTTGGAAAGCTTCAGGTTTGTTTTTTATGTAATTCTTTCTACATCTTCTTTCAATAACTAATTGCTAATCTCCGGATGCCGTTAGAGCCCAAAAAAAACCTAAATTTAAGAGATCTCAAATTCCAGCCAAATTCCATATCCCCTAACCCTAACAAAGAACAAAGTATTTAATGCATACAAATCAAAAGGAAATACCTAAACACTTCTTACATTCAAATTTCCCTCCAAAATCCCTCAAAAATCCTTTCTAAAATGCTCCGTTAGCTCTTGCAGTTCATACGGCTATAGCAGTTCATACGGCTATAGCAGGAAGGGGAGACGTTCCGCCTCATTCGCGCTTGGGCTGGTCCCGTGTGGACCGGTCTAACAGATAGATAGTAAAATTGAACAATGTTGTTTAAGGCTTTAACAATTTCTTGCTACATATATTGACAGGTAGGGCTTTCACAAGCCCAGAGATTAGCCCAAGGAAAAGTCATAAAATTGCACATTCACAGTCCATTCCCAGTCCAGGTTGATGGGGAGCCATGGATACAGCAACCTGGCTGCTTGGAAATAACACACCATGGGCAGGTAAACTTTTTATATCAATGATAGCCAAACGATAGAAATCCAACCATTGCTATTTCGCCTCTTTGTATGGAAAAATTATTACGTGCGGGTTCGGATTCGTCCAGAGACCAATAAAAATTCGTCACGTCGACCCAAAATTGTATCGTGCTCGGTACCGCTTTGTACCGAACGTAGAATCGGACGGTTCTGATGTCCGCACAGAATAACCACTCCTTTGTATGACTTACTTTCACTGTTGCAGGTGTTCATGCTGAGGAAGGCATCGGACGAGCCCACTGGACATGCCGCTGCCATCATGACAGAAGTCTTAGTCAATGCAGAGTGCAATGGCGTCATTAATCCGGCTCAAAAGAAGCTCCTTCTCCAGCAGATGGCAATACGGCTCACTTGACGTTCTCGCATCCTTAGAAAAATTATTCTGTGCGGATACTTGACACAACAAAAGTCCGGAGCCCAATGAAAATGCGTCATGTCACCTGGTATCGAGCGATACGAGCTGCGGTACTGAGCAGCACTGAGCCTTGGTCCTCGGTACCAAGTGACGTGACGCATTTTTATTGGACTCTGGACGGCGTTCGGCATCCGCACAGAATAATTACTCCGCATCCTTTCCCTCTTGGTTAGTTTCAAACTTAGACTTTTTCAAACTTAGACTTTTTTGTATACACTTTCATTATAGGCTCCTTCAATTAGTTCCCCTTTTGAGGGACATATCAGCTCAATAAGAATTAGATAGGTTAGAGTCTGAAGAGGAATTTTTGTTGTAAAGCTGAGGGATTTAGTTACACTTACACATAAAGCAATTGTAAGAACGCGGAAGATTTAAGAGGAGCTTTTGGAATAGCGGGAATAAAATTTGCAATTTGTAAGCATAGAAATATCAGTATAAACGAGCCGAGTTGAGCAAGCTGGCTATTTGTTCAAAATTAGCTTGTATTTTTTGTACTTTGCAGGAGCTTTGGAGTCTTATTATGCCAAGAAACCTAGCCTCAAAGATTTACAGCTAGATTAATTAATTTTTTTAAATAAAAAATATTATGGAAGTTGAGATTTAATAAGATATCAGATCTTGTTTTCAAAAAGATTTTAAGGGAATTATTGCAGTTAATCCGTTGAAGAAAAAAAAAAAAAAGCTTTGATTTTTGGCCGAGAATAGATCAACAATTTAGGCTTTGGTTGGGATGGCTTTCTTACCGCTTCTTAAAATAAATTTTTAATAAAAAAATTAAAAATTTTGTACTAAAAAGCTCTTTGAAGTAGTAAAAAAGCTATCACACAATTTTTTAGTACAAAAATTAAAAAATTTATACTAAAATGAAGCAACAAAAAAGTCGTCCAACATGAAGTGTTTGTCAATTATTGATGTTTTTTTTTTATCAAATTATTGACATTGATCCTTTTCTTAAGAGATTGAGTCATATATTTGACCAAGTGAATTGGTCTGCAGTCATAATAAGCTGCTGGTCAATTTCGGCTAGATTTTAGACAACAATAATCGGCTACATTAATAGTTTTTGACCAATAAGAAAATTTTTAACTACAGAATGGTCAACAAAGCTTTTGGATGTACCCACCGCGGCTTCGCTCATGTTGGGGGGAGCTCGGCTAGGCAAAGGTCAGGTACCGGGCTCGAATCCTATGGGCGAGCGTGATAACTTCAAGTGTTAGCTCGAGTAAATTAGTGTGAGTTGTCTGCTAGGTCGATCGGGATTTACACGCCGCTTTGCATAGTGGTTCCTCGTCACAAAAAAAAAAAAAGCTTTTGGATGTTACTGAAAAAATAAATAATTTCAAATGTAGTTTTTATAGCTCTATTGTCTATATCATCTAATCAAAAATATATATATTTTATAATTTTCTTAGGTTTTTTGTAATATTATTTTGTAAATAGTTGTGCGCACTTTCATACAAAGTCCATAGAAAAAAATTTGGGATAACATTTGTGTTGCTTTCTAAAATAGCTTTTTAATGAGCAAAAAAAATTTTAGTTCAAAAATTTTTATACTAAAAAGTTTTTTTAAAAAGCAGTAGCATGTGTTGATAATCTCCTCTTTTTGATAAAAAAAATACTATAAGCTAACATTAAAAATAGACTTTCAATTGCAGCCTGCATAATATAATTTGCCAAAATGATTAAGCTACCAAATATAGAGTAGCAAATTATATTATCAAGAAATTAAAATAGTTTATGGAAGTGAAGACTAAGGAGGATTGGGATTTGAATACCTAAAAAATATGATGTGATTGTGAGCTTAAATTTTCTAAATAATAGCATGTTGATACCACATTCCACATTTTTTTTTCAACCTTTTGACATTATGAGGGAGAAGGGCAATACTTAATAAGAGATTATTTGACATTAGTTATGAGACTTTGATAGATGATAAGGCATCATATTTCAAAGAGATAACAAAGATGTATTAAGATATAATTGATTGATTGAAGTCTACATTTAAGACTTTCTCATTATTCATGATAGTGGCAAGGGAGTGGATATGTGGATGGATAGTAGAGAGAGCCACAAGATTCCCAGAAATTAATATAATGTGTGCGGATACTAAACGGTTCGAAGATCAATTAGAACGCACCATGTAACCTGGTACCGAGCACCGGTACCAAGCAAAAAAGTGATGTGACGTGTTCTGATTGGTCTCCGGATACCGTCCAGGATCCGCACAAAATAATTTTTCCAAGATTCCATAGCATTTTATCTTCATAAGTCAAGCCAAATTATTCCACAAGGATATAACAAATAATATTCCTAAAGCACAAATGTTTGAATTTCCAATAAATTCAATAAATATCTTAAAACAAACATGATAGAAGTTTTAAGTTATCTCTCTCTCTCTCTCTATGAAGTTTTCAATGAATTAATTAAAGTGTTTTTTTTTTTAATTAATTAAAGTGTTCTCTTATGGTCTACACATGTTCTGAACTTTTTTGGAGGCTTAGATTTCGACGGGGATACATTTTTTACTGTTTTTTAAAGCGGTATTCTAGTACAATTTTTTTTTTAAAGCAGCTTTCTAGTACAAAAATTATCTTTAGAGGCTAAGGTAGGAGAAAAAGCTTGCCATTGATATCGCAAATCAAATGGTTGGAGGAAAATAAGAGAGACCCATTGGAGATTTGAGTGTGTAAACATTAACAAAGGTGGAAGTTAGAATTAGACTTTAGTGTTATTTAAAGTCAAAGTTATTTGAATTCAAGCCCCCCCTAAAATGTTAAGCTTTTATTTTTAATAACTTCTTTCAATTTAATTTCTATGACCAATTTTAATTAAAATTTAAATTCTTTTTCAACTGATTTCATGATATACGTTTGAAATTTTGATAATCAATTTCTCACAATTTTGCATTAATCTATTAAAACCCAATCATTGTTATATTTGGTATTATAGGTAAGATAATAAATTATTTTTCCTTATTATTTTTAAATATTTTATATTTTACAAGTAATTTTATTATGCATGTAAATTTTAGGGATATATAATAATATTGCATCACTTATTTTATTTTATATCACAAGTGATGTTAGGTAGGAACATAAACTTAGAAAAATTAAAGAAGGAATAATTTTAATTATTTATTATTTTTATCTCTTCACATCAATATCATT